GTCTTGATCATCAAGACACCTGTTATAATTAAGGTGTATAAATTTATATAAATGTATAAAGTGATTAAAAAAAAAGTGACATTTATAAATTCCCGATGACAGAATCGAGAAATTATTTATTTTACATGGAAAAAAAAAAAAATTTTGTTTGAAAATGTAAAAATTTTCACTAGAATGATTTAATTGAAATATATAATTAAATTTTTTGTTATTCTATACTCTCTAAAATCTGAATTAGTAAAAATGTTTACTAATTTGAATTAGTGACTCACTTTTTGCTTCTGAATTAGTTAAATTTTACTAATTGTTAGTAAAAGTTAGTAGTAATTAGTAAATTTTTACTAATTCAGAAGCAAAAAGTGAGTCACTAATTCAAATTAATAAACATTTTTACTAATTCAGATTTAGAGAGTAGTGAAAGAATTTAATTGAAACTGTTAAAATTTTTGCTACACGAAAAAAAAATGAATATTGCTTACAGAAGCTATAACTGATATATGTTTGCTATCGGATCTATATCGAAATTATATATATTTTTTTTTTTTTGCTATTAGCAATGAAAAAGTTTTGCTGTGATAAACAATAACGGTAATAATTTTTTTTGAAAATTTACTGTCACAGAAAAATTTTTTAACCCCACATAGCAAATTTGTTTCTACCCAGGTAGAAAAATTAACATTACTAACGTTATTAATATTACTAACGTTACTAATATTACTAACGTTAGTACCTATAAAAAAATTAAGAAAATGTTTCTAATTTCTATTTTTGCAGAAACTTGTCGAAAATCGACCACCAGGAAGTATTTAATGTTTAATAATGCACTTTTTATAATTTTCATTTCTATTATCACTTCCACTTTTTTATTTTCATTACCGTTTCCACTTTCACTTTTTCTAATTCTCATTCCCATTTTCACTTCCACTTTTTATAATTTTCATGTCCATTTTCACTTTCACTTTTTTATTTACATTACCACTTCCACTTTTTCTAATTCTCATTCGCACTTCCATTCCCACTTCTACTCTTTCTAATTCTCATTTCCACTTTCACTTTTTCTAATTTTCATTCCCATTTTCACTTTTTTATTTTCATTACCACTTCCACTTTTTCTAATTTTCATTCCCACTTCTACTCCCATTTTTTCCACTTCTAATTTTCATTAGCTGTTGTCATTTCGACTAAAACTCTTTCTAATTTCTAATTTCCATTTACACAACCATTTCCACTTTTTTTATAATTATAATTAGAAAAAGTTAAAGTGGCAATGAATATAAAAAAGTGGAAGTGAAAATGGGAATGAAAATTGGAACAAGTGGAAATGGAAGTGAAAGTGGGAATGAGAATTAGAAAAAATGGTAGAGGCAATGAATATAAAAAATTGGAAGTGGAAATAGGAATGGGAATGAAAATTAGAAAAAGTGGAAGTGAAATGGGAATGAAAATTAGAAAGAGTGGAAGTGAAAATGGGAATGAAAATTGGAACAAGTGGAAATGGAAATGAAAGTGGGAATGAGAATTAGAAAAAATGGTAGAGGCAATGAATATAAAAAATTGGAAGTGGAAATAGGAATGGGAATGAAAATTAGAAAAAGTGGAAGTGAAATGGGAATGAGAATTAGAAAGAGTAGAAGTGAGAATGGAAGTGCGAATGAGAATTAGAAAAAGTATAAGTGTAAATGGGAATCAAAATTATAAAAAGTTTAAGTGGAAGTGAAAGTGGTAATGGGAAAGTAGTGTCAAAGTTTCTGTGAAAATATATTTTAGAAACTCTTTATTTTTTTATAGGTATACTAACTTTAGTAACATTAGTAATGTTAGTAACATTAGTAACGTTAGTAACGTTAATTTTTTCACCTGGGTAACGTAATTTGATGTGATAGAAAATAGTTTGTTGCCACAGTAAACTTATTTTTCTGTAAGTAAAACCTTTTGCTGTATTTTTTTTTCCATGGCAAAAATCGTTTTTCAGATTCTGTTTTTTTCAGGTAATTAAATTAAATTATGCAAAAAAAAATTTTTTTTTCTATCATTTGCTTAGATGTTGTTTCGCAGGTGGTAGTATTAGGAGAAGAAAAAATCTCTCTTTCTCTCTCTCTCTCTAATATCATTTCTTATCTGCTATCGATTTATTTATCTGTTATAATGCAATCTATTTCTGTCAGGGGCTCTATTATCGATCATCCATATGCAACAGGCCGCTAGTAACAACGTAATTGTACATTATTAATTCGCAAAAGTTAAACGTGCGCCGAATCACCGTTGAATTTCTTGTTTAAAGATAGAGTATACGCAATATATATATGCCTGATAATATGATTGGTATCAGCATATATATATATATATACATATAGGAGTTCTTGGCAGCTGTGTGTAGCGGATTAAGCACCGCACCCACCTTTCAAACACTCTAAGAATTTCTTCTTACAAGTGCTAGAAGTCGAACTCGTTCATATATACACGGATTTTGAAAATGCAAATTAACTGGTTATGGTCCAAGGTTGCATAATATTGACGCACTTTGCTATATATTTTGCCATGTGTATATATATATATATTTTTTTTTTCTTTCTTTTTTCTGTAATCACGTTGATTTTTTTTTTTTTTTTTTGTATGTGCCTGAAAGTCATTCGAGCAAGTGAACCTTAGACATTTCCAGAGTCAACATTTCTCCTTCGTTTACAATTCAAATTTTCTGATAAAATTAGTATATCAATTAGTATTTGATGTATTTGCATGTTACAAACTAGTACAGTTTCTATATATAATAAATATACATATATTGGGAATATGGATCAGAAATTTGAAAAAATTTCTTTTGTGCAAATTATTATATAATAATAAAATGCTTGGTATATCCTTCTGTTTCCAACTTGATGTTGGCCTTTTTTGATTTCACGTGTTTTTTGAATTGTAATTTTATGACGTGTCAAATTTTGACAATTCTTTTTCTCGTTTTTGCCAAAGTTGTATAATTGTGTTTCCAAATTTCAGGAATTAATTTCTTTAAAATTCAAAAATTCAATTCACAAAGCTGAAGTATACACAACGTTTATCAACGAAATTTTTGTTTAAAGTTATATATTGACCCTAAATTACATATATATTTATTGTAGGCGGAATATTTAAAGCATTTTTCTGATAAATATTCCGCCTATGTTAAATATGAGCCGCCTGATATTATAATTAAAATTTCTACAGCGGTATATTCATTGGCCCCCTGGTACCTTAAAGATCAATTTTTAAAAATAAATTTTTTCAAATTATACTATATATCTTGTAGGAAATTTTCTGGTGCATTTTTATTCTCATCATAAATTTTATTTTGTATTTGTAACAATTTTTGAGAAAAAAGCAAAAATCTAAATTTTTCATAAAATTACTTTAAATTAAAATTTTTACTTTAATTCGTTCTAAGATGAAAAGTTCTGAATATTTTTCCATACAATTTACAGGAATTATATCTATAGGAATTATAGATGAATTTTCATTTGTTCGAATTATTATTTGATATAATTTCCATATAATCGATTTTTCATACTACAGAATTTTTACTTAACCGACAAATCATTTAATAGAATTTCTAATTGATAGAATTTTCATTTGTCCGAATTTTCAAATGGCCGAACAAACAATCGACAGAAAGATTTTAGCGCGATTTTTAAAATCAACCAATCACAATTTTAGGAATAATTTTTGATTGGTTGATTTTAAAAATCGGGCCGAAATCTTTCTGTCGATTGTTTGTTCGGCCATTTGAAAATTCGGACAAATGAAAATTCTATCAATTAGAAATTCTATTAAATGATTTTTCGGTTAAGTAATTAAAATTCTGTAGTATGAAAAATCGATTATATGGAAATTATATCAAATAATAATTCGAACAAATGAACATTCATCTAAATGAAAATTCTATTCAATGAAATTCTACCCAATAAAAATTCTTTAAAATGCCGATTATGTTAAATGAAAATTTGAGCAAATAAAAATTCTGACAAATAAAAATTCGAAGAAATAAAAATTCTGTGAGTTGAATTTTCCGTTATATAAAAATTCTGCCATATAGAAAATCGTATTGATGAAAATTATGCCAAATGCTATTTCGAACAAATTAAAATTCGGCTCAAAACTAATTAGGACAAATAAAATTCGATAAAATGTAAATTATGACTAATGATTTTTAGAACATAATCATGCGTCCCAATTTAAATTATTATTGATAATATTAATTTTAATTTCTTTATAACAAACAATTACGTAATCAATTTGGCGCGCGTTTAACTTTGCTATTTATATATAAAATATTGGAAATATCAAAAATTAAGAAAATTTTCTTCTTCATTTCGAAATTAGTTTCTTATAATTCCTTTTTTAGTGGATTTAGATTTTCAGAATTTTTCTCGTTTTGTAATAAAAAATTTTTTTTGGACTAGTCACATTATCTTATTTCCTTCCGCTATGCATTTATTAAAAAAAAAAAGATGAATTTCTCTTTATATATAGACGAGGTAGGACATGTTTTTTTTTTTTGCATAAAACTCTCGCGGGTCGACGACAGGAATGTTGGTATAAAAAGACCTTGACGGGAATAATTAATGGGGGGGAAAAAAATCGGGCGGCAACTTTCAATCGCTCCTAGGCTATCGGACGAATTTTTTTTTTTTTTTTTATTATTGTCATATGTCACATATGATAATTATTAATTACAGTTGTTTTTTCTTTTATTGTTTCTATTTAAATAATTTGTATACACTTTTCCGTTTTCTTTCAAGCGGTCGCATAGTAAAGCAACAGGTGCGGGCAATCGATTTCCGTTTGTCTCGAGATGGCAATTTTAATATAGTTTATTTCAAAAATACATTGTGTTGAAATAAAATTTTTTTTTTATCGTCATTTATAACGTGTCGCGGAAAACAAGAAACGACTTTGTAATGGGCAGTAAATTTAAGCCACTACTGTAAAGTCTGTCAGAAACTTCCATTTGTGTTTGTATTTATACTGTGTATGTGTGTCGTTGAGGTGAATATACAATTGTGTATATACAAGTGTTCGGATAAAAGATAAGTTAGTTCAAAAGTGTGCTGACATTGAATGTAGGTGTACAAAGACCTTAACAGAGTTCCTGTTTTTAGCGAAACGAATTAGAATTTCACACTATTCAAAATCATTTTTTTTTTTTTTTTAAATTCAATCGCCAAACATGTTTTTAATTAAACTAGCAATTGAACACACATTACCTACGCAGTTGTATTTTTTTTTGTTTTTGATTTATTTTACTTTGTTATAATGTTTATTAGAGCAGTTTTTCCTTATTGCGATTTTAGTTTCCTTCTTCTGTTTTTGGCTAATAACCTCAAAGTTCTGGAAAAAAATTAAAAATCATTTATTGTTGGAAAATTGTTTTTCTCTTTTTTTTGTTGCAATAATGGGAAATAAATTGCTATTATTTGACGGTGTTGTTTTACATCATTTTTCGATTATATCGAAAGGAGGCTACAAGGCCCGTTATCCGGAATCGCGAATATTTCTCTTGATCCTCGCCGAAGAGGAGTTTATGCGCAAAATAATTGACGAAGAAATGTGATAACTACTGTAATAGAGAGTGATGACGATGATTAAATATTTTATACAGGTGTGCGAGTTCCTGTTTTGAAAATCGAACCGCGTATATATATATAAGTCATAGTATAAATATATATATATATATTTATACTATGACTTTTATAACAGACCGTAGGTGGAGAGATCTCTGGATTTGATGCTCTAGATTCCTTTTTACTGTGTATAGAATCCACGAGGCGTGCAATGATAGAACAGGATCTCTTGAAAAGTAATTTCTTGCTGAAATATATATATATATATATATATATATATATATAAGTTTGCTTTCCTTCTTGAGAATTTTTTTTATATTCTCTTCTTTTTTACCTCTGGCATTCCCCCCCCCCCTTCTTATTGTTATATACTATTTTTATAAAATAAGAGTCTTTTTACCACTCTTGTCATTTCTTGTGCAGATGATAAATGAAATTTGCAATCTGTGATATATTTTCTTTCATTATTATTTAGTTTGAATTGTTGTTGATAGAAAAAAAAAAGAAGAAAGAATTTTACAGTCTTGAAAGAAGAAAATGGTTATATTATTGATTTTTTGTATATAGGAGGGTATATTCGATTACGTCATGTTGTGTGAATGTACGTCATCAAGTGCTGGTGAAATAGAAGGGGGGAGGCTTGACGCGCACAGTATGTGAACGTCACGCGTTGTAAGAGGGTTGGAAAAATAATTGAGATTTCCTCTGGTTTAGGGTTTACTTCTGTATATATGTATATATATATATATAAGGTTTCAAATTTTCTCTCGTTTAATTTTACAATTACTCCTGTGGGAGTGGGTAAAGTGACACTTTTTTACTATAATTCACATATAATATTCATTTTTTAATTGAGAATTTTTTTTTCTCTTTTTTTTTTAGATAGAGAATTATAGAATTGAAAAAAATTTGTTTTTTAAAGGGAAAAAGTATTTTTTTTCTTTTGTAAGTTGGGTTTTGGAAATTTTTTTTTACAAAATAATATCAAATTTGAAGAAATAAAAAAGATAATTCAAGAAATTTTACAAAAAATGATTACGTGAATATATTTGTTATAGATAATTATAGTTATATATTGAGAAATTAATTTGCCTTGTTTGACGAATTTGTCAAACATTGTAATATCTATATGTGGAAAATTTTATTCAGGAGCGTGGAATTGATTTGGAAAAATAATACTAATCAGCAGGTTATGCAGTGTTCGTTTAAAATAAATAACTTTGCATCCATTTCATTGGCATTTATCGAGGAAATTATTTCAGTTTTGCAAATTATAGCCTTTCCCTTAATTATACACGTTTTTCTCGTAACACTGGCGCCGCACACTTTTATATATATATATATATATATGCTGCATATAATACTTGCATATATGATTTCCTATCAGGAAAATACAAACAGAAGATATAGTTTCTATTCAAATACTTTAATTTTTTTCTCGCTTGCTATTTTTCTATTTCTTATATATATATATATATATTATATTCATGGTATAATATATACTTTCTCCCGAGATAATAAATCGGTTTGTCAAACATATTAAATGAATATAGATTGTTTTCCCTCTCTATTTATCGATATGCAACCTGTGCAACTTGAGATAAAAATCTGTATTATTATCTTATCTGATTATAATGGAATATATTCAGAGGGAGTAAAATAAATAACAAAAGAATTTTTTTTTTTTTTTTGCATTTTGATGAAATTTTTTTTTCAATTATAGAAATAATTATTATTGATCCTCTCGAATTGAAAAATATTTTTATTTACCTCAATTCAAAGTTTGAAAGAACATTTTTTTTCTTACATTGAGAAAAATAGTAGAGCCAAAATCATTATAACCTTGAGTGTGAATATTTAAATAAAAAAAAAATAGAGAAAATAATAAAGCATATAGAGATATTTTACGTAGATTAAATTCTTATATATATATATATGTTAAAAAATTGAGTAAAATATCAATTATTGATTACTCAATTATGACGTGGTCAGCTTTGAAGTCAATTAAAGTAAAAAAAAGTATTTCCCATTTAAATCTATCAATCAGCAGAAAGCTGATTGCTGTAATGAATATAATCACATTAATCACATATCGACGCGGTACAGTAATTTGATTGCGTTTGTAATTTTTGAACATGCATTTACCAATTAAAGCAATTTATTCTATTTCATCAATATATAAGAATATACAAAAAAAAGTGACCTTTAAATAAAAAATCTTGTCCTCAATATTTTATAATAATAATGCGATTAGTAAAAATAATAATAATAATAATAAAAATAATTGTTTATAACATAAATATCCTGTATCTGTTTTTCTTTTTTTTTAATTTTTAAAATTCTTTTTTATTATTACATTGAAAAAATTTCTATGATTCAATCGGTTATTTTATTATTAAATAAATATTTGTAGCAAATAATTTTTATTTAAATTAATTAACAATAATTTTTGTATTTGAAACAAATGCCACCTTAAATACCTAATAATAATTAATATACAAATAAATATAATTATTTGATAAATTGTCAATTAATCAATTGTTTTGAAGTAAATAATTTTTTTTTTTAGATTTTTTAATTTTAATTTCATTCACGAAATTAATAATGCGAACAATAAATTTTTGTTTGAATTAATATATCCATTTGAACTAATTTCAATTTAACGGAATTTCACGATACCATCATTAGAGTAAATGTTCCTTGGGGCAAATGAAATTTAGATTAAATGCCAATTTGGTTGGGATTAAATTATAGTATATGGTAATTTGAACAAATGACTTCTGTGTGTGTGTGTGTTTGATTTTAATGTAAAATGAAATTTCAGCATTACGAACAAATTATGACATATGAGAAAAAAAAACCAAAATGATATTCTAAACTTGAGAATATAATTTTGCTTTATTTGAGAATATTTTATGATATGTGTCAAAATAATATCGTTTCATGAATTTTAGATAAAAATAATCATTTTAATTTAATTTTAATTATTCTTAAGGAATAAAATTTGCGTTTAATATTCTTAAATGTGTATGAAAATTTTATTCTTTTAGAATATATCCCGAGTCGAAATTTAGACTCTCTATAAGTTCTCTAAAAACCTTCTTTTATCCTTCTTTTATTCTCTCCAACATTTTCATACTCTCTTTTTTCGACCTCGAATTTGCAAAAGTGGAAATATCTGCTATATTGGAGGCTGAAAGGAGGGTTTGAAGATGACTAGAGAGGCGTAAAAGAGGTTAAAAAAACGAAAAAATAAAATTAAAAAAATGTAAAAATTGGATTTTTTTTCTTATGGACATTATTTATTTGACCCTATTGAAGATGAATTTATTGGTCTTTGTCGTAATACTATAAAACTTTTAGGAGGAATAAAACTTGGAAAAATTCAAATTAAGAAAAAATTCCAACCTCTAAACATGCAGATTTGGAAATAAGCGCATGATTTCAGGCTGAAAAGAGGCTGAGAAAATCGAGGGTGAAAAGAGGGAAAAATTTCGAAAAATATAAGAGAAGCAGGTGCATGGTAATGTTTCACTACCATGGTAACGGTTACTATGGTAACGCTTGCTATGGTAACTGTTACCATGGTAACCATACGAGTGTACGACGGACAGACGGACGAATGGACACCAAAGCGATGAAACCACAGAAAATTAAAAGGCATTAAAATCAGCTGCAACGCTTATTATTTTAATCCAATTTTGCTTATTTTAATCCATTTTGGAATTAAAATAAGCAAAATTGGATTAAAATAATAAGCGTTGCAGCTTATTTTAATACCTTTTAATTTTCTGTGACTATAAGGCTTTCGGGCCTGAGCCACAAAACCCTAATAACCAATTTTATGATTTTGAATATTTTTTTTTTAATGATGAGAAAATTTATTTACATTTTTTGACAAATTGTGTGTGTGTGTAATAAAACAGTTGTATACTTAACATGACTAAACGTTTTTGGCGTTGATGAGTAAAACATTAATATATTGCTTTTACCTTTAAGTTTATGATTGCTGTGTGCCTAAAGGATAATATATAATATATAGATCATAATATATATTATATATATATACACACAATGGATAGAAACTTTCTCCGGGTGATCGTGCGTTGTACATTTATCATTCGCGGTTTGCTTTCCTTGGATCGATCTCTTGATTTAAAACCGGACGTGAGAACCAAATGAAAAACTATACGCGATTGAATTCCAATTGAATCTTTGATCTGTCTCCCTGAGGCCATTCGCACAAGAGCTTTGACATGGAATATTCTCATACAATCTTGATGCATTGTATAATATATATATATGTATAAACCGTGCAGCAAACTAAAATTGTTTGAAATTGTTCTGTCAAAGAGTTTCCAATGATAATTTTTTTTTTTTTTTTTTGTTTCTTCAATCGAGTGTAATTTTTCTTATATAGAATTT